GAGAACACTTTGTTATTGTCAGCACTTTTTTGTTGAAGAACTGTAGCAGTGGCAATCCTCTTATTAGCCTGAAAATCATCATTTTCATCTTCTTGGGTGGATTGGGTTTCACTTTCTAAAGAGTTAGATTAGAAGGAGAACCAGTGTACTCTATCTAGTCTTCTGCTGCTATCTTGTATGTTTCACTTATGTAACCGAAACTCTCCAATGAAATCTATAAATACCATTAACTTCAGTGATCAATGACATTGAAGTCGATTCCCCTCCTACGTGTTCCTCTATTTTTCTTAATAGTTTCTTAGTTCAAACTGGTATAGACTGAATTGTGGAATGTGGACAGACGAAGTTTTCCTGTGTTTTGTGAACTTATGCTGAATAAATCCAAATCATATATCCAATCATCTATTTAGTCCAGCATTCAAGACAATGAAGACACAAGTTCTAACAATTAGAAGCTCTGAAGCTGACAATCAAAAATCTAGCCTAATTTTTGTACAAACATAGCATAATAACAAGAGTGTAAAATAGACTCTTTAACACAACCTAAAAAGGAAAAGGGCTAGAAAACATTTTGAAATGAAAAGGAAATAAATAAGAGGGAAAAAGTGAAACTTGAATTAGAGAACAAAAAGAGAAAAATAGACCCAGACTTCCAACAAGAATAAGTGAAGAAACAGAGTTGAAAGTTAGAAATCTTTGGAAGAAAAGAGAGGTTTTCACAAAATTCTTTTTGGAAGAAGATGAATAGAAGAAATCAAGAATGAAATTCAAAATCATTTTTGGTCTTATGCCTTGGACTTGTAATTGTATTTCAAACCTAGAATTAATTAGAGAGGGTTTTGTCTCACTAAGCTCAACTGGTTGATTTCTTCAATTTTGAAGATACGTCTATATATGAGAGATTTCTAATCTATTTGTACTATTATATGAAATATTTCTTTCTTGAAATATCTCTAGTGCTTGAATTGAATTTTTTACAAGTTACTTGAAACCAAGTTTAGTTCTTAGAAATCTTGAGCTTAATCTGTTTTTATATTTGGTGTTTGATTTGATTTTCTAGAAAGGCTGAGCTAATTATCCTTTTTTTCTAGAGAACCCATGAAAGAAGAAGAGAGAGGTTTGATGAGTATATATGAAATTGAAGCTTTAAAATGGTTGATTCAATATGGACTAAGCAGAAATTCAGTCTGCTGTTACTGAATTTTGAATTGAGCAAGTCCGACACCTAGATCTACATTGGGATTGGAAGGAGCAAATCAAAAGCCTGACTCAGGACTAATTAACCCTTGTCTTCCAGTTGAGTATATAAACAAGGTTTTAAGTGATACTGATCCTTATCTATTATTTTGTCTCAAGTGTTTCAAATTCTACACCATTATATTAGACAGATTTTTCTTGTCTGGTAAAGAGGCCCTACTGTGGTCATCCCATCTGAACTGCCTTTTGTCCCAAGATTAGCCAATGTTTTCAGAGTTACTAGTCAGTAATGGTATTAATGGGACCACACTGCTATCTGGGCTTAGCATTTGAATTCAACTTTCATATAGTTCCGTGCTTTGCATTGCTATTTTTAATGCATAGTTCAGTCTTTCTCTTTAAACAATAGTGCATGGTTGAGTGTTTCACTCCACAAATCAGGGGTCTTTTTCCACATGTTTTAGCTGCAACAGCCAAAAATATATGTTTAAGCATTAGATTTCACTGAAATTATTTGAAATTCTTATACTTTCTCTAGAGTTAATACCTATTTCTCGTAAACGTGTCTCACCATATCATCTACAGAACCCAGTTAGCCGGAGAGATTATAATAATGTGATTGGTGCCTTTCCATATGTAAAAGTGAATCAACAAGCAAAATGAGCTGATTGTTCTTTCATATAGAAAGCTTAGTGGAACAATCCTCCAATATCTTTCTTTCTCTCTTTCTTTTCCTTGTTCTTTTTCTTTTTTTCTCTTTAATTTCATGCTTTGATGTAATTAAACTTTCAGTTGAGGCCTCAGTTGTTTTTGATCAGCATTAACATTCAAGAATGCAAGCATTGCACTGCTTTCTTCCACTTTGTATGTTTGTCTGTTGTTGTATTCTTTTTGACTTTTTGATCAAATTTCAACATTCAAGAATGGAACTCCTTTTGGACATTTTCTAAAGCCATCGAATTCAGCTTCCCCGTTTTCCTAACTTTTACTTTAAAATTAGACATTTTCGCTCTAAAAACACCAGACCAGTGAGAAAGTGGTCCATAGAAATAAAATTGTTTCTTTAGGCATCATTACTATTAGGAAGTTGCAACTGAATGAGCTGCCCCATTTTAACTTGTAGTTAAAACATTCAATCAATAGGTCTTTGAAATAGATAATTAAACAGAAAATGCTCTCCAACAGTGTTAACCCGTCTGCTTAGACTGCTTGTCACTGGTAGATATATTCTGGTTTTCACTTTTAACAGAGAAATATTGTAGAGAATGAAAAGCTTAATATATGGAGAATATCCCATCCTTGGGCTACTCAGCACTGGCTATGGCTCTGAGTCTTTTACTCCCTCTTGTCAAAGTATGGTCTTCCCTCTGTAATGATGAATACACCGTGGTGGGACAGGAAAGTCATCCAAGTCCAGTGCTAAAGGAAGCAAAAGAAAGAATTCAAAATTAAGATTACAGTAATCACATTACCCTTCTGCAGTTTCTGGGTCAGAGTTTCACAAATTATGCTTCCACAAGCAGTGTGAAATAGTATTAATGATGTGTAGTCTTCCTATAGGAAAGGAAACAAGAGAAAGCACACACCAGCATGATAGTGTAACAGAGCTGGGATGAGAATGATGGGTTTAGGTTGAATTGCTGACCCACTACCTGAAGGCAATCGGAGGAAAATTAAGAACGATTCAGCTTCCAAATTGGTTTTAAAAACACTAGGAATGACCCCTGAACTAAGTATGGGACCATTAATCTGAATTATTTCATTTTTTAAATTATTTATATTAGACATTTAGGTTAGGATTTTTATTTGATTTAAGAGACTTACCATGTTTTATCTAAAGAATGACCCCATACTAAGGGGCAACTACAGTATCATTTAATTTGAAATTTACTATTTAACTATAAAAAATTAACATGGGTCTTACATCTTTGTAATTGACAATTTATTCTGACCTACTTTATTTGAAAATCACTATTAATTTATGTTGTTTTCAATATGATTCAAGAGATTAAATGAGGTCTTATTTGTAAGTAGTGACCCACCTTAATTGGTATTTACTATTTATTTGATAAATTTATTTTTAAAATCCAAATTAGGTTACACTTCCAAAAATAGTTAAATCCAGTTTGCAATTAATAAACTATTTCATCTAAAAGAATGAAACTCACACCATTTGTATTAATTGTTTAGTCATTTTTATGAATTTCATTTATTTTTATTTTTATCTATTTAATATTTTGAATATTTTTAAGTTAACTTATTTGTTTAATCATTACTTTTGAAATTGTTGTGTTTGAATAAAATTCAGTTACTACCATAATATT